CAGCTGGACTCCATATTTATGGTGTGTTCATGTACAACAAGTACTTTTCTATGTGTTGTGTTCACTGTCATCTCCATTCTGCACTTTGTATACCAGTGGACTGGTCCAACACATAGACCAGTAGACTGCCAGTCTTTCCAACATGGATCTGATGTTTGGCTCCATGATTTCAGTCTGATGTGTTTTCTGTTCCAGAAGATGAAGCAAGTGCAGGCTGACCATCTGCAGAGCAGTAAGAAAATTTACAATTTTCCTACTCTACAGTAATCCACCATTTTACTTTTTAACAAGACACAAGTCTTAAGAACAGTTTCAGCTTTTGAAGAGGAAAAAGAAAAAATCTGAATTGTCTGACTTAGGAGACAATTTAGAATAAAGTCTGTTCAAGATATTTTGGTTGATTAAAGTGTGTTTTAGTTCAGGGGCAAACTTAGGGTTGCAAGTTTCAATTAAATCAGAATCAGAATCAGTTTATTATTGCCATGTCAATGAACGAGGTTCACAAACTAGGAATTTGCTTCGACATAAGGTGCGAATAGTAAATAGTATTATATATATATATATATAAGCTCTCGACCTTGACCTCTCTAAGTGTCTTTAAGAATCTGTTGGACACCTGGCAGGGTCCAATGCTGACATGTTCCTGTTGTTAGTTTTCTACATTTGTCTTGGAATCTAGCTGTTTTTTGTTTTGTTACCTTTTCCTTTTAGCCATCCTATTTGTTAAAAAAAAACAACAAAAAAAAACTAGTATGCTTTTTTATATAATTGTTTATTGTTGTTGCTGTTGTCCATTGTTGTCATCTTTCTTTGTTGAAATCAGGTCTCTCTTGTAAATGAGTCCTCGAGGCTCAATGGGAATTACCTGTATAAATAAAGGTTGATTGATTGATTGATATATATATATATATATATATATATATATATATATATTATATAAAGTATTTGGGTTTGTATTAGAGCCTGACCGATATGGAAATTTTGGCCATTGCTGATATTGGGAGGGGTAAGGCGAATGCAGATAACCGATATGATAGCAGTAAAATTTTTTTAGCTTCGCTCACTCCCAAGAACAGGAGTGAAGCAGGGCCTGTTGCTGGTGAAGATTCTCAGTCATCCAGGACATGATGAATTCAAAAAGCGTTCAATACAAAAACAACTGGACTTTATTTGTAACAGAAGACGTTTCGCTCCTGTAGATGAACAGATGCTGAGATATATTCATCAATTAAAACGGATTCTTCATTTTTCTGGACTGAATAAAACGTGCATTGAATTTAATGAAATGTAACGTGAGACGTCATTTATCTTTGACCCATCAAAATGAATGTGGTCATTTATTTTACAGAATCAAAGTTTAACATCAAACATTTACATTAATTTGGCAAAATATGAAAATAACAACATAATCAATCAGCTTTACAACCAGGAAAACCATACGGCCATGATTTTCCGTTGCTTCACCACAGACATTAATGAAAACTGTACAATTATGATCAATTATCCACACGGCGGTGGATGAGCACTTTACACAGACATTTCTAAATTATCTGGAAGGATTTCTACTTGAGAGAAGAATTTAAAGATGGAAATGAAGTTTAAAGGGAGTAAAAGATGGTGTGTGAGGGGAAGTGTTCACCAGAACCGACACTCTCCATTAGAACCCAGCTTTTCCTCGGTACGCTTGGTAGGAAACTTGACTCATTACCTTTCTGAAGATGAATCAGCAGATATGGAGTTCCAGTTAACGCTACCTGTCCAGCGTCTCCATAGGATGGCTGTGACTCGTCCGAAGTAGTGACGAGATTCCGTCCGACACCAGCTCACTTCAGCAAGTGGACTTCACATGAGTGGAGTCCTTCAGAAGTTCCACTCAGAGGTGGAAGATGTTATAATCCAACTCGGAAGAGCCTTATCATGGCTGGACTTCTGTTCTCCCAAACGACTTCACAGAACTGCGAACATCTCAGAACTTCTCCGCGCCTCACCGAACTGAGAGAACTAGGAAGTACCGGCATTTTAAAGAGCTCTATTTCCGATATATTTGAGCGTCCCTGATTGGTCAATATCAACCAGACAGGGGTGTGTTTTGTGATGTAAGAGGTTACTAGAAGTCAGAAAACAGCAAGAATTGTTATGGAACAGATTAAAACTGTTCTCAGACAGGCGAGAGAAATATTTTGGCGAGTTTGGAGAAACAGGTGCCAACTCCTCCGTTGACGTCTGAGAACATGAATTCTAACTTTGCATGAGCAACTAAAAAATCATTGTTACTGTTTTACAGTTAATAAAATTGATTAGTTCACTGCAACATCTAAAATGGTTTGAACTAAAACACTTTGATTATCAACCTTTGTAAAATAGTAATGATAATAAAAAAGAGAGTGTTCTTTCACTTGATTTTCAAAAAAGAAAGTCTCAGGATGGGTGAACCTGTATTTCTGGATTCAAATCAATGAAATGACAGTTTCTGTCCCACAAGGTTCTTAAGGTCAAGGGTTTTGACCTTAGGCTTAGTTTTGACATCAGGTTAAGTTCACTACACTCCTCATCCCAGGAGCTTTCTCAATTCAAAGAGCAGAGAGTGAGAGATACAGGTTATAAGACTGAGTGAGATAAGACACACACACACATATGTAGATCTGACAAGTCACACCTCCACACCTTAACAATAGGGGGTTTCTTAAGGTCTTTGTTACTCTAATTCACAGATGAGGCCCCTTTGTTCCCATCAGGTGTAAAAACTGGCTGGGAATCTGTCTTAGGGGCCGTTTACACGGCGCATATTTTGAGTGCATCCGTAGCTTTCTCTCTGCGGTTCTGCTGATCATTTACATGACACCAGTGGCCCCCCTGTTTGAATCTGGAGGTTTCTGAATCCACCTTCCAGAGTGGAGGTTTTTCACTGACCCCCCGCTGATCAATCAACAATCAACCTTTATTTAAACAGGTAAATCCCATTGAGCCTCGAGGACTCATTTACAAGAGAGACCTGATTTCAACAAAGAAAGATGACAACAATGGACAACAGCAACAACAATAAACAGTTATAAAAAGTCATACTGCAGGTTTTTTTGTTTGTTTGTTTGTTTTTACAAATAGGATGGCTAAAAGGAAAAGGTAACAAAACAAAAAACAAAAAAACAAAACAAAAAAACAGCTAGATTCTAAGGCAAATGTAGAAAACTAAAAACAGGAACATGTCTGCATTGGTCCCTGCCAGGAGTCCAACAGATTCTTAAAGACACTTAGAGAGGTCAAAGGTCGAGAGCTTCAAATCTTTTTGTAAGATATTCCAGGAAACAGGAGCGGAATAGGAGAAGGTCCTTTTGTCTAGTTCAGTCCTCACTGAGGGAACACTGCAGGTAATGATGTCCTGAGAGCGCACTCCGTAGCTGCACTCACGCAGAGACATGTAGGAGATAATGTAAGAGATAATGTAAACACCTCCCGCTGAGGCTTTGTGTTAAACCACATGTGCACACGCACGCGCGGACAGACGCTGTATTTCCATCAACATGGCGGCGGATACACTGATTTCAGAACCTCGACTGATGGAATATATTTTAATCTCGTAGTTAATCCACGTCAGATTCCAGCTGCTGTGACCAACATCTGTGTTGGAAGAGAGACAGTCTGATCCAGTTCTAATGTCGCTGTTTATAGAACGAGGCAAGTGCACACGTCGCGCTGCACTATAACATAAATGTGCTAAATAACAAGTTTAATAATAATAAACAGTATTTATGTTAGTGTGAGATATAATGAAGCTCTGAGCTAAATGAAGCTATCTGGACATTATGTAATTTAAATTTAAAATGATGCTAAACATGTAGCGTGAACACTAAGGTTGAAAATGAAGACATCAGGTTTAATTTTTATTTATTCATTCAACACCACAAACTGTATGTCACACAAACACTGATAATTAAACTGAACACACTATTAAAACACGTTAACTGAACTTGAATGGATTGAATAAAAGAAATGAGGGGAATTTAAAATAAATAGTTCATCCAACATCTCTCTTCAACGTCCTCCTGCACTGCACCTGGGCCTCATTCAGAACCGGTCCACCTGGTGGGAGATGGCTTCTTCTTCTTTCAGGAAAAAATAAAAACTCAGTTGGTTGTTTTGTAACCGAAATAAACACAAGCTAACATTCTAAAAAAGTTAAATCTGGTCCTCTGGACATTCAAAAAAACAAAACAAAGCAAATAAATAAAAAAATGTAGAAACGTTTCGTCTCTCATCCGAGAGACTTCCTCAGTCTGAGGTGCTGTATTCAGCTCAGTCTCTTAAATAGCACCTTCTCAGAGTGGATCAACCAGTTTGCTGCTGACAACCAGAACCAGCTGATCACATGCTCAAGAAGGACCATCAGCCTAACAATGGATCATTAGCACCTGATGGCTGTTTACTGTTCACAGAGGGCTGAGTGATACTAGCAATCACAGCATTGTAAGAGGGGGACAGTTGAACCAGGAGGCTCCACCCCTGT